AAATAGAACTAATAAAAATAACTGTTTTAATGGTTCATATCAATGTTAAAAACTCAGGTTGTTATGAATTTTAATAAACTTTTTTTATAATATAAAAATATTTCCTGAACAACTTTATTAAACAATAAAATGTAAAAACTTGAAAAAATGTGGCAGTTTTTATTCCAGGCATCAACCAAAGCATCTGATTTGTTAAATATTTAAGTTTACCAGCTTCAAGTTTATCATTATATATTTTTGCTAGCCTATCTCTAAATATTGTATTTCAAGATTATGCATCTAAAAGATAAAATATAAATAAATAAATAAAATAAATAAATAAAATAAATAAAAAAATAATAAATAAAAAAATAAAAAATAATAAAAAAAAAAATTTCTCTATATGGAGCTCTAAGTTCTGAAGAAATCAGTTTTTATAATTGAGCAAATTTAAATTTGGAAAAAAAAAATGTTTTCAAATTTATCATTAATTACAAATTGTGAAAATTTTAAACCAAACTATTGATATCAGCAAGATCATTGGTTCATGGCCTTTTGAAAATATTTAAAAAAAAAAAAAAAAAAAAAAAAAAAAAAAAAATTTTATTTTCTTAATTTGATAAGGATTATTTTTTTGCAAATTTTTTGATATCTGATTTAAAACCTACATGCTGTACAGTCAAAATGTTTTACCAACACAGCAACAACTTAGATCCTTAATGTTGAGTAATATATTTACAAAAATTTAAAAATATTGTCTTTTGTGAAAAACTTGAGAAAAAAAAAAGTATAAAAAGCAAAATTCAATTTAAATAACCTGTTTTATTGTTAAAGTTTAACTACAAAATAACTAAGTTTAATGACATTGTTTTGTTGTTAAAGACCAATCTTGTGTAAATTGAGAAACAAATATTCAGAGAAAAAATAAAGTTTCATCTTGACTGGGACGGGTGGGGGAGTTGGCTGGGTCAAAATACAGACATACCTCCTGGAAAAGGTATCTTCATCCTCAATATAAAAAAAAAAAAAAAAATTCATTTTAGCCATGAACCATTGAATTAGACAAACATTTAAAAAAAATGCTAATGGAAAAATAATCTACTCCATAGAATTACTTCATATTAAAAAAAAAAAAAAAAAAAAAAAAAAAAAAAAAAAAAAAAAAAAAAAAAAAAAAAAAGGGATCAAGTTCATTCTCTCTTCAATAACAATTTGTACAAACTTTAATAGTGATTTAAGCCATTGGATCCATTTAAATTTATTAGAAAGTTCCAATTTTGTTTTCCATTTAAAACAAACATTCAAAAGATACTGGAAATTATTTCTAAGTTAAAACCATACTTATTAAAAAAAGAAATTAAAAAAAAACAAAAAAAAAAAAAACCATCTTATTAAGTTTACATATCTCCAATAATCACCATTTTATCTAGGTTTATATGACCAGAGTATACAAATTGTATACTATAAATACATTTTTATCAACCGAAAGCACAAGATCATATCAACATTGGTGTATGAAGAGAAGCTCTGTTTACATGTCAAAGAAAATTTATTTATTCTGTGTAATGAGAGGAAAAAAAAAAAAAAAAACTAACAATATCCAATCAGAGAAAAACTGAATTACCAGAATTCATCCCCTTTACATTGCTTTGAAAACATTACGAATATATTTCAAAGGAAAATAAGGGAAAAAAAGTTACATTTTGAAATTGAAGCAGATTTTATTAGAACCGATTATAGAACAAAGTAACAAATAGGAAAATAATTCAGATCAATTTAGTAAATAAGAGAATATAAGTCTTTTGTAACATATCTTAACATCTATATTATGAATTAATACTTATATGTTAACATATTTAATAAGATTAGATTCTGTGTGTGTAAGATTAAACAAGAACTTATAATAGTCTGAATATTATTGAAATGTCATTTTGCATAAGTCCCTGAATTGGTGAAACCTGCAAATCTTAGTCCACAGTGGAGCCAGTTATAAGTCCTATTCACTGTACATAGGACAAAGTTTGTATAAAAATAAATTAAAAAAAAAAAAAACTTTTAAAATTTGTGCATGCACCTGGGTATTTGACATCATTCCTTGCAAATAAAATCAAATGAATAAATTTAAATTTGGCAGAATGCAACAACTTGTGATTCAAATGAATATTTTTCAATTTTAGTTTATCTTAATTACTAACATAAAAAAGGAAAAGTCATTGCTAATACTTTGTGTGTAAAGAAAAATGACAAACAATGAAGTGAGAAATTGCAATCAACTGTTGGAGGTGGGGAGTCAAAAATTGTTGCCTGTTAGTAAAGTACAAGAGGCTAAGGATAACAATGAAAGTTAACATTCAATCTGAAGACTTAAAAAAAAAAAAAAAAAAAAAAAAAAAAAAAATGAAACCTCCATAGAGATATGGATTAAGTATAAATAAATTAAAAAAAAAAAAAAAAAAAAAAAAAAAAAATCTAATATCAAAATGGCTTAAGATTTATGGACATTTCAGTTGTAATGCTGCACAAAAATTAACTCAATTTGTGCCTACAGGCAGGATAAACTGGGCATTTCAGCAATAACAAAAAACTGTGGACTTAGTCATTATAACTTCAATTTTGTTTTGTTTTTTTGAGAGGTAATCATGGTTTGTTACAAGTTTGGTGACATACATCCAAACCATTAACTGGCCAGGAAAAGAAAAGAAAAGAAAAAAAAAAAAACCGGAGCAAAAGTTCAAGAATTTATTGTGAAAATCAGTTATTAAGCAGATTCCAAATGTTCAAACAATAATCACAATCACTGAAAGATATTTATTTTTTTTTTTTCTCTTTTTAAACGTTTTGGCACGGGAAAATATTGAAATGTAGTTAATTAGTATTTATGGTATAGACTGTAACAGAAATATAAAATTCAGGTATATCATTTAATAAAGAGTGAAAAACATTGACTTTCACATTAATAATGTTAATAATTGAGTATCTGTGTAAAAAAAGAAAATGTGAAATTGTGCAAATAAATTCAACTGCAAACAAACCAGCGGTAAAGGATCCAGAAATAGTTTCCAATTTAAAAAAAAAAAAAAAAAAAAAAAAAAAGAAGTTTTCTACATTTTTCAAATGAATTTAAAAAAAAAGAAAAATTGAATTGCTGCATAGAGCCAAATAGACATTTTAATCTTCAAAGTCAGACATACCCACATAAGTGTTGGTTTCTTTTTTTATATACCTACAAGATTTCTATAGAGAATGGAGTGAGCCCTTGTGTGAAACTAGTGAAGCAATTTAGTGCCTGTCAGCAAAGAAATGAAGCAGAACGAAAAGTACAGGCTGCAAAAACTCCAATGTGGACTTGATTTGAATGATAAAGAAACTTAAAGAAATATTTTTCAGTTTTGAAAATCATTTGTAGTTAAAAAGAAAACAAATTTAAAACTACAAAGTTGTATGAAACATTTAAATATAGTTTGACTATTTAAATAAATATATAGTTTGGACCCAACCCATACCTTAATTTCAAGCAGAGGAAATCTTTGTTAATATAAAATGGGGAGCAAGGAATAAACTCTCAGATAAACATTTAAGCAAAAAAAAAAAAAAAAAAAAAGGCAATTCATACATGCATTCTGTCTGCTTATAGATAACAATTTTTTGGCTAAAGTCACCAAGAAAGCTTACAAGGAAAACAAAATACAGTTTAACAAATCAGCAGAAATAGTAACAGAAAATTGTAAAATTCCAAGCAAACTCCCAGTGATCATTGACTGAATTCTTACATTCGATGAACACGAAACATCAGCTGTGAAGAAAATTTTTCTGACAAAAAAAAAAAAAAAAAAAAAAAAAAAAAAAAAAAAAAAAAAAAAAAAAAGGGGGGGTAAATATATTTTTGTGGCAAATTAATGAATTCTGTCATTTTTCAGAAAAACAAGTGGAAAAAAAAAAAAAAAAAAAAAAAAAAAAAAAGAAAAAGTGAAAAAAAGTAAATAAAACCTCAACAATTAAAACGTACACAGTGAAAGGGTAAGAGGAGTAATAAATGTAAAAATATTTAGAATATGAAAACTCAAATAACAGGACATTCATTCTTCTCCCCTTCCCTTACATGTCTACAGTTCAAACTGAGAAATATTTGTAGCCAATCTTTCAGAAAAGAAATACACCATTTTCCCTTAATACATTGTTCCATTGTGATCACTAATACATAAATTCAATGCCCTGTCAGTCTTCCATTTTTTTTTTTTTTCCTTAATGGAAGACTTGAAGGGAGCACCAGTTCTGAGCAATATTAAGTCATTTGACAAGAGGTTCCTGTTTGGCAAGAACTTTATTTAACCAGAGATCTCTTTATTTTTTCTAAAGCCCTTCAAAATAGAAAGTATCATTTAGCTAAAAATAATTCAGTAAGAGAAGGGAGGGAAGGTAATATATCTGTCTAAAGTATTAAAAAAATAGAATAAAATAAACTTTCAGGGGAGGAAAAATGAGGAAAACATTTGAACTCTAATCAAACTCCAGAAGAAATTATTGATTAGACTTAACAAGATTTGATACCATCAACATTTAAGAGAAAATTAGTGTATTTATGAAATCCTTTCATTTTTTTTTTTTTTTTTATAATGCATCTTTGACACACCTATTTCTACAAGGAGTGGGTATTAATTTTGTTTGATGAAGCCAGTTTAAAAGATATACCCTTGACCATCCATAAAGAAAGAAAAAGAAAGAAAATATTTTTAAAAATCTTACTTCATTATAAACTAAATATCTTTGATAAAAAATATAGCATTTTTATTTAACACTTTGACCAGATTTGGAAGAGGGACTAAAAATTGGGGGAAAAAAAGTACCATACTTCCATTAGGTTTGTTTTGAAACTAGTCAAGAATTATTAAACCATAGTGTTAAAAAAAAGTTTCATCATCATATATGTATATATATATAAAAAAATAGGTCCTACAATGAAATAAAGGCAGTTTGAGCCAATTTGAATTGACTTATGAAATCAGGCATTAAACCAGTTTCTGCTAAAAGAAAAAAAGCGGGGAGAGAGAGAAAGAGTGAGAATTAAGCATAGATAGAAAAGGAGAGAAGAAAGGATATATATATATATGGGAGAGGAGAGGAGAAGAGGAGGAAGGAAGGAGAGGAGGAGGAAGGAAGGAGAGGAGAGGAAGGAAGGAAGGAGAGGAGGAAGAAGGAAGGAGAGGAGAGGAGAAGGAAGGAGGAGGAGGAGGAGAAGGAAGGAAGGAGGAGGAGAGGAGAAGGAAGGAAGGAGAGGAGAGGAGAAGGAAGGAAGGAGAGGAGAGGAGAAGGAAGGAAGGAGAGGAGAGGAGAAGGAAGGAGAGGAGAGAGAGAAGGAAGGAGGAGAGGGAGAAGGAAGGAAGGAGAGGAGAGGAGAAGGGAAGGAGAGGAGAGGAGAAGGAAGGAAGGAGAGAGGAAGGAAGGAGAAGGAGAGGAGAAGGAAGGAAGGAGAGGAGAAGGAAGGAAGGAAGGAAGAGAGGAGAAGGAAGGAAGGAGAGGAGAAGGAAGGAAGGAGAGGAGAAGGAAGGAAGGAGAGGAGAAGGAAGGAAGGAGAGAGAAGGAAGGAAGGAGAGGAGAAGGAAGGAAGAGAGGAGAGGAGAAGGAAGGAGAGGAGAGGAGAAGGAAGGAAGGAGAGAGAGAGGAAGGAAGGAAGGAGAGGAGAGGGAGAAGGAAGGAGAGGAGAAGGAAGGAAGGAAGGAGAGAGAAGGAAGGAAGGAGAGAGAGGAGAAGGAAGGAAGGAAGGAGAGGAGAAGGAAGGAAGGAAGGAGAGGAGAAGGAAGGAAGGAAGGAGAGGAGAAGGAAGGAAGGAAGGAGAGGAGAGGAGAGGAGAAGGAAGGAAGGAAGGAGAGGAGAGGAGAAGGAAGGAAGGAGAGGAGAGGAAAAAGGAAAGAAATAAAATGGTAGATAGCTTGCTAAGGAACTTGAGCAACATTTATCTTTTTTGTCCTTGGAGTGGATGGAATTAAATCTAAGCCTAATTTCTGAAAGCATCCCAGTGAGCCATACAAAGATTTTTTTTAAAAAAAAAAAAAAAAAAAAGCAATTATTTACCTTAAAAAAATAAATTTATTGAAATCTGCAAATCCTCTCAATATATATTGTAAAGATTCACAGATTTCTTTAACACATGCAAAATGTTAAAACTAAGGTGATTTTTTTTTAATGATGTTATCCTTCAGATAAGGAAATTAGAACCAACTTGTTAAAATAGTAAGAGGGAAAAATATATTTTGCACATTAACCAGTGTATGTGAGACTTGCATAAAAGTGTATTCTAATAGTAGATTTTAAAATTTTAGAAAATCTATTTAAATAATCTAAAAGCGAAATTAATTCTTATTTATATATATATATATATATATATATATATATATATATATATATGTATATATGTGTGTGTGTGTGTGTATTTTAAACAAAGGTTTGTTGTATAAAATAGTTAAATATCTAGAAAAAACCTCATTCTTCTTCATAGGACTGAATCCATTTTAATTCTAAATAAGGGAGATAACTCCACTTCAACTCGTAAATTGAACTTCAGAGTATAAAGTTGATATAGAAAAGATTAATACTGAAGCTCAGTGAATCCATTCAACGTTTAAATAGGGTTTTGAACTGGGAAGAAATATTTGGCACACAGAGAAAGAGAGAGTAAGAGTGGTGGAGAAATAAACACACTTATTTTTCTATTTGAGCGGATAGTAATTAAAATCTTGAAAATGATTTAAGAATTAAAGAATATGTGTGTAAAAGTTCATTTAAAAGTATTCATTTTATTTTCCAGTATTGTCTTTTGTAGCTACATTGGAAAGAAAGTGATAAAGTCTATGAATAATGAAGGGCATAGCAGACCAGAGATCCAACCTTTATTATTGTTTTACTTTTCTTTATAGCTATCGATATTCTGACTTCCAGCATAAATCAGTCCAAGTCAGCCATCACATTTGATTTCCTAAAACCACAAAGCAAAGTGATTTTTGATGAGAGCAATCTAAATTTTATATATATATATATATATATATATATATATATATATATATATATATATATATATGTGTGTGTGTGTGTGTATATATGTGTATAAGAAAAATATTAGTAATAGTCAAATCCAAATGAGCAGAATAAAATTTATACACACACTTGTATACGCACATTCAGGTCTACACTTTTGCATGCATATATACACACACAAAATTGTGATAAACTTTTTTCTGGAAATAATGTTATGAAATGTAAATATTCAAATGATTAATAGCAAGGTGGTAAGCCACTATGAATGCTGAAATGATGTTTGTAAGCACACTATCAAACAAGAGATTAATTCTTGTCAATTTTTTTGAAGTTTAAAAGAAAGGAAAAAAAAAAAAAAAAAGCAGTTCATTTAGTCCATTCTTTCCCCCCCCAGCCTGCAAAAAACCACCCACCCACCCTCAAATTGTAAATATATTTTTTTTTTTTTTATATTGTTCTTATTTGCCAATATTACTCTTGCTACTGCCACTGATGAGCCCAGTTATAATAATAACAGCACATTTGTGTGCAATTTTAGTTTTTGGCAGATTGTTCTTGCCCCCTTTTCCTTCAAGGTTTTATTCCCTTGTAAACTTGGAATCAGAGAAATATTAGCAGCAACAGAATTTTTCAGGCCTTTTCAAAGTGGACCCTAAAATAAGGGAATTGTTTCTAAGCTGCTGTCATGGCAACAGCAGTGTTGATCTCGCCCGCCCACGGGGCTGAATGAGCCACGTCTTCACGTATCATGGCATCATAAGAGCCATAACAAACAACCAAAAGCTTGTAACCTACACAAGTACCTTTTCATGAACACATACAGCAAGGACTCCTTTTAGAGTCCCTTTTAGACACAAATACACCTATTGCACTGTTACTGTACACACTCATGTCCTTACAGTGATGTTCATGGGCCAGTATAGCACTTGATGCTCCTTACTTCCAGTAAAAAAGTTTAAAAATAACAACTTATATCCCATTCATCATTATACAGGTGTACTTCTGCCAGATTCATTATCTGGAAAAAGAAAAAAAAAATATAATAATTTTAAGTTACAAGAGTCAATAGGATGAATATTTTGAAATTACACTGATTAAAGTAAAAATTGTCATTTATAAAAACACTTGTTTTGGTACAAACCAAATTCAGAAAAAAATTAAAAAAATAAAAAAAAAAAATAAAAAAAAAGATAAAAAACAATACTGCTTAGAACTTCTTGCATTTTTCAGTAAAAAAAAAGGTTTAACCTGAATCTAAGTGCTGATAAGTATAAGGAAGGGGATGCTGATAAGTATAAGGGAGTACGGAAAAGCTCATGGCCTGAACCACTTTCCAAGTGACTAATCCTTAGAAAATTCATTTGCAAAAGTGGGACTGACCAAAAACTGTTCTTGCATTAGTCACACAGAGTTGCCATATAGCTTCTATACAGTGCTTAAAGAAAAAAAAAAAAACCCACACACACATTCAGGTAAAAAAAAAAAAAAAAAAAAAAAAAAAACAAACACTGGATTATCATTATAGATAAATAATTAAGAGAGACAGTCTTGCATCACAATGAATAAAGACAGAGAAGGCATAATTTTTTTTTTTTTTTTTGAATTAAGTTTTTCCTTAGTTTTAGAGTTTGGGCAAAAGTTAAGTATTTATGAAATAAATACTTCTCACAAAAAAAGAACAAAGATTTGTTCCTGAAAAAAAACAAAACAAAACAAAAAAAAAAAAAAAAAAAAAAAAAAAAAACACACACCTTTGAATACAATTAAAATTTTCACAAAGAAATATCTTCTAAAACCAATTTACAGTTCTTTAATTGTTTCTATGGATTTATAAAAAAAGATCAACAAAGGTTTTGAAAAAGAAATGTAATTCACCTCGTTTTGCTTTATCAAGAGGTCCCCATATCCTAATAGTGCCATCATCTGATACACTAGCTAGCATGCTAGGCACTTTGGGGTTCCAGTGCACACAATTGACAGTCCGAGTATGGCCTTCCAACACAGCTATGGGCACTTCTCTACGAATATGCCAGATATACACCTTATGATCTGAAACAAATAATTTTTGAAACTGTTAAATAAATTTATGTAATTTAGAGGAAAAGGAATTATGACACTTGTCAATCTATAGAGAAAAAAATTTATAGAAAGAGTAAGATGAGCAGACGAGAGAGAGCAGACGTGCAGAAGGAGGAGGGAAGAAAGACACAAAGAGATGGAAGAAAAAAAAAGAACAAAAAGAAAAAAGGCAAAAGAATTCTAAAATAATACAAGGGAATGACGAAAAGTTGTCAGCCAGCCCCACTTTACTAAATTGGATCAATTTTTTTTTCAATCCTAATTTGGTGAAGTCGGGAATTTTCAGAATCCCCTCAAATAATTAAAAAAAAAATAAAAATGTTTATAACTAAAATATTTAGAGTTAGCTATAGCTTAGAACACAATTATGTCAACATACCTTCACTACCACTTGCAATGAAGTTCTGATTTAGTCCTCCAAAACAAGAATGGATTGTATAGAATCCTTGGGTGACACCTTGAAATTTGCGAAGAAGGCAACGATCCTTTAGATCCCATAAATGGACTCCCTGAAAAATAATAAATTGTTAAATGACAAGAGTTGAGAGAAAGCTTAATTTATATATATATATATATATATATAGAATATAATATATATATATATATATATATATATATATATATATATATATATATATATATATATATATATATTTTATTCCATAGTATAGTTTTTAAAGAATAAAAAGAAAAGTTTTGAAAAATTAGAACAAATTGAACAAACTTACATAACTAACTTATTTAAAGATTGATTAATTTTTTTTTTTTTTTATGCCTTATCAACCAAACTTTTGCAGGTTATTTAACCAGAAAATTGTATGAGAACCAGCGGTTAAATATGATATGGCTGTAAGCCTATTTAGAGTAAGACCAATATTTACTCAATATGCTTGATGTGCCAAAGCCTTGGTGATTGAGTCAACTTTACAAAAGGTACATTTTAAAAAAGAAATTGTCCTATTAACAACAGATTAAACATAAAACAGCTATTATCAAAGCTTTTTTTGTTAAAGAAGAGAAAAAGGGAGAGAGAAAAAGGGATGTCAGATTAAAAATAAATCCATTAATTCTTTAAAATACATATGATAAAATATAGTTTTAATGTATACTATATTTATGGATAAAAAGTGCTCAATATCAAAAATAGATATATATATATATATATATATATATATATATATATATATATATATATATATATATATATATATATATAAAAAGTGGACATTGAGGTCAATACCAGGTGGCTAGTCTGTTTCATGCTTGAGCACAATCTTCAGGCCTGAAGATTACGTTCAAGCATGAAATAGACATGGAGGAGGCATGGTTGAGTAATGGATAGTGGCTCAGATTGAAGAATCAGAGAGCCAAGTTCAAATTCCAGTTGAATCCATTACATTCACATACATGCTAATACCCTTGGGAAAAGCATGAATCCCCTTCTCCCTCCAGCTATGGGTAAATAGCAGGACAGAACAAATTCTACAGCCTTGGATGGCAACTGGTCTACCTCTGAAAGAAATAGCAACCTACTGTGGTGGTAAAAAAAAAGAAAAAAAATAGAAAACAAAAACTGCCTTGTATCGAAAGATACATGATCGTCCAACATAACTGACAGATGAAATAGACTAGTGTTGACCTGTGTGTGTGTGTGTGTGTATCTTTAACAATAAAAATTGTTAAAATTTAGAATTTCAGACACACTGGATTATATATTAATATTCTAGTTTTATTTTTTTTTTTAATTATGTTCTTTAATTAGTTTCGGCCAGCATGGCCATCATCAGGAGAAAAAAAATTCATGCTTTCTGGTAGCAGTGTGAATAATATTTTTTTTTTTTTTTTTTTATAGTTAATTTTTGGTCAGTTATGGGATTGGTCAAAGATATTTTTCAAGTTTGTGGTTTTTTTTTTGTTTTTTTAGGAGAGATCAGGAGACCCATGAGTCTCAAATGAATTTCTTTAGTCATTTTGACAAATTTATTTGCTGCTTGGAAGAGGATGCGTGTGTGTTATGTGTATGCTATTTTTAAATTTTTTGAGAGGGTCTGTGTGTAGATATGTGCAAGTTTGTGTATGGGAGACCAGATCACCTCTGTGAGCATATCTGTCTGGTGTGGTCGAGGGTGAGAGGAGTTAGGGGAGTCTGGTTGGATCCTTCATGGGTGGTGTCATCTTCTATGTAGTAGCAGTAGGATATATACAACTATACAGAAATTATAGTGTGAGAGAGAAATATGATGGGGAGTTATCTTTGGAGTTATATGTTAATTCTATCTGTGCTGTTAAGTCTATTGTTAAGTCAGTCTGGACAAAGTGTTTTCAGATGCAAAAACCATTTGCCTTCATGTTCTTCTAGTATTTTCCTAAATTTGTCCTTTGGTCTTTTTCTATTCTTTCAATAATAGTGAATTTGGCATGGTTATTAAAAAATATATATATATATATATATATATATATATATACACACACAGAGCCTGTGCTATCAAAATTGATGGCAAGAAGGAATGTATTATAAGTAATATTTATTATATTGTAAGTAATTTTCATTTAATCCATGTACAATTTTGTTAGGCTGATGTTTCTTCTTCTTTTTGTGTATGCTTGCGTGTCAAATGTCAAGGTTATTTCTTCTTTCCACACACACACACACACACACACACAATTATATATATCCCCACCCAAAATTGCAAGGAAAAGTAAAAATGTAATTATTCTGAAAATTTTACTTACCTGAGTAGCAACATTGAGTAAAGCTAATTTCCCTGTTTCATCAAGAGTGAAAGACATAACGGGGTGGTCTTCTTGTAATCTACAACAAACAAAAAATTCTTAAAAAATAAATAATTCAATTTAAAGTGAAATTTTTCAAAAACATTGCTTCATTTCACAGTACTTCTTCAGTACTAAAAAAAAAAAAAAAATAAAAAAAAAAATTTGAAAACACTATAGAAAATCATGAATCAACCATATATTAAATTACTGCTTTAAAAAGTAAATAATTTCTAATAATTCTATTTAAAATATGTAATAAATTCTGAAAATATGGATTACTTGTTAAAAACGTAATTTTAATAGAACGCATTTCTATAGTTTGAACGGTTTCCTAAAATTAATATATAAATTACTAGCACTATTGTGCAACATTTAAGCTACTTCTGGCAAAAGGCTCTTAATTGGGTCTTCATCACAATAGTTATGGAGGAGTAGATGCAATAGGCAACAATAAACTACAGAAGAATTAAAAATTGTTCCCTGCATTTAAGTATTGCATCAATATTTAAGTTTACCTTTCAAAAGTTCAATAATTCTTCTGCCGCAACTTAATTTAAAAACAATTTGATGTACATAGGCCCTTACTTTGCATACAAGCAATTATATTTATTTCCAAGTTATAAAAATTGCTATCTTAAAAAAAAAAAAAAAAGAAGAAAAAAAAGGGTAATGAAAAACTCAAAATTTCAAGATTGCAAGTCCAGATCCTGCCCAGAATGTTTTTAATCTGCTCGTGGAGTCTGTTTGATTCCAAAATGGTGATATGTTAGGCTATGGCCTCTAGGAGTAAAGTTGAAAACTGTGACACTGACATTTGCATTTATTATATAGATGAACTAAGTAACACGGGAATTTAGATTTGCTTATATAGAATATGTATAAATTGTGCAAAATTCTCAACCCAACTTTACAAATCCTAATTAAAATTCCTCAAATATCACTTTCTTTTTTTAAATCTTTTCTTGGTCAGGCTAAGAACTTTTCAGCACCACCTTATATTTCACATTTTTATAAATGTTATACTTGGAAAGCAAGATGTACAAAAGCCAACTATAATTATTCTTGGGGAGTGGGGTTGTATCTTAAATAAAAATATTTAAAAACAACAGCAAAAAGAGAACAAATACATTTAGATTAGTTTTTTTTTTATAATAGAATTTATTGGAATTTTCTAAATTTCATACTGACTGAATTTCAACAATTAAGTAAAGAGAAAAAAGTGAATAAGACTAGTAGAAAAAAATTTTAAATTCCAATTTCATATTAAACCCTAATTGATAGCTTTACAAATATGAATCAAAATAAATGAAAGTGAAAAAAAATTTTTTTTATATCATTTAGATTCAAAATATAGAAAACTATAAAGTTATAGATGACTATTTTCATTTGGGGTAAAGAATAAAAATAGTTGTACAATTTGGCCAAAGTAATTTAATTTATTTACTTATTTCTCTTCATAGATTTTCATTTAATTTCATGTACACAAGTTGAAGTTAACATGACAAATAAAATAATTTCCTTGAAAGGTTGATCACTGAAATTAAATAACTGTTTACTAGGCCAAAAAAAAAAAAAAAAAAAATTAAAAAAAAAATTAAAAAAAATAAAATAAATAAAAAAAGCCTTAATGAAGTATATAAAGTTGATGAAATCTCTAGGATGAAGAGGAGACTTGAGGCATCAGAGATGTGGTTCTACAGAAGAAGGCTGAGAATACCATGGATGGAGCATGTGAGCAATGAGGAAGTTTTAAGGAAAATGGAAACAAAAAGGACACTTATAAATGGAATGAGAAACAGAGGGTTGAAATTTCTGAGACGCATAATGAGGAAAGAGGTCTTGGAGAATTTGACACTCACAGGACACACTGAAGGCAAGAAGGACGAGGTGGGTGGATAAGGAGTAACTTAAAAAAAAAAAAAAAAAAAAAATATTATAACCCAGTGTTAATGATCTAAGAAATACTATTTTAAATTTCAGGAAAAATGTTGCATAAACTATTATGTAAACTCTTGTTTTTAAAAATATTTTTTTTAATCAACAGATGATGGAAATTATGGTAAATGAAAATTTTAATGTCTTTTGGTGAAGAATAGAAATTATCGTCAGCTTCACAAAGAGACGTGTTAATAAAGACTGACATTTAATATTGGAATACTTACATGAGAAAATCAGATTTATCTTCAAAGTTGTAGCCCCTAATTCGGTTATGTGTATCTGCAGCTAGAACAGTCTTCCCATCATGCTGGCAAGCAAGGCACTGTACACGAACGCCTTCCCAAGTATCAAAAAAATTACCATCTTGGTCCTGCAATAAGAAAAGTATTATATCTCTAATTTAGATTTCAAAAGAGAATCTGAATTATGACTAATAATTTTTTTTTTTTTATAGAAACAATAATAGTCAATCAATCCAACAAACAATATAATTTTGCCACAAAGCATTTAAAATTTATCCAAAAGCTGAGTCTAAATCTTTGAATTTCAAAGTAAGACATAATTAGAAACAAGACAGAAATTTTGATCAAAGAAAGAAAAAAGAAAAAGTCAAGGCACTTATTTTTTTTTCATTTATCTACTAAACAGCAGTTCCTATTAAAATATTTTGACAAAACCGTTTTAATTGATACTTTATATTTCTGCTAAAATAATTTTACATTTATTAACACTGGATAAAAAATGGAGAATTACCATGAAAGAAAATTGCATATAAAAGATAAGTATATAAAATGAGTGAAAAATTACTGCATTGCTTCATTTACTCACTTCCTTCAGTTTGGGAGAAAAGTTGTTTCGTTTTTTATATACAGGATGCGATGGGTAAATTGCTGCCATTTTATATTTTTAATTTCACACATTTGTTTTTGATTTTGTTGAATATAGTAGGGTCAGTTGAGCCCCGTCTGTGAGAAAAAGAGAACCATGATGCAATTCACTCCACCAGAAATTTGGAAATGGTATGCTGTACTGCTTGGCATTCGCACCAGAAGCTCCAATACAAATATTGGAAAGTGTTTGCGTATCAATCTGATGACAGTGCAGAGGATTCGGAAAGAGTTGGATGATATATCCAGTCAATATCATGGCGTTTGGAATGATCAATAGTAATGGCGACATTATGCCTCCATTCATCTTCCCACAGGGCCTCAACACAAAGGCTTACATCAAGTGCCTTGAGGAGGTAGTGCTGCCCTGGGCCAAGAGGGTGGCTGCTGGAAGACCTTATGCCTGACAACAAGACTGCAGTCTGCCACACAAGCAGGAGAATCCAGTCATGGCTTTCAGGTAATTTCTGAAACCGCATCACCCCCAATATCTGGCCACCTAAGTCCCCAGACTGCAACCAGCTTGATTATTGTGTGTGCAGTGCAGTTGAAAGACCAACACAACTCCTCTTAAACCAAAGATGAACAGAAGGCAAGGATTATGGAAGCATTTACAAACTTAAATAAGGAGACTGTCAAGAAGAGTTGCAGGAGATTCTGAAATCATCTGGAGGCCATGGTTGAAGCCAATGACGATTTTATTGAATAAATTTACTCTTTCATATTTCAAGATATTTTTGTGTAATTTTGGTAAATATATCTGTTAAAATGAGATGTCAGTATTATTTTCATTTTTGTGTAATTTAGATGACAATTTATCCATCGCACCCTATAATTGTTTAAAGTTTGCTATAATTATAGGAGAATAGTGCTCATCATCAAGGATAATGTGTGTGTGTGTGTGTTGATATATAATTCAATTAAAAAACAAAAACTGACAAATTAATTATTTGCCAAAAACAGATATACTAATAAAAAGTATTCAATGTAAATTAAGATAACAAAAATACAGAGCAATTTAAGACATAAAATTTTTTTACAGTAAAAACCAACCTCTCTACTTTCTGTGAAAGTCTAACTGCCTGACAATATCAGAATGCCAAAACCATGGTAGTGGAAAGATTGATTTTCCTGTAAAATTTTACGTCAAACACACATACACACACAAATTATATATATACATATACATATACATTTCCTATCTGGATTCTGAAGAACAAAGCATTTCGAAAATGAGTCACTCTGATAGGAATCATGAACTTATGTATGCACACAAAAAAAAAAAAAAAAAAACTAACCTAACACCAATAAAAAAATACAATTTTATGACTCCATATATAAAAATAAGGAAACCAAGAAAATTGACAGACGTTTGCAGATACCTCCTGACAATAGGACTGAACAATTACACAAAGGTTTGTCTACAGAACTGTAGTAGAGGTGCTGAATAACACCAATCAGCTAAGTGACAAATTTTATATTAATCCTATTTGTTTTGGAGGAACGGTGAAGTAATGAATAGCAGCTTGGATTGAGGAATCAGAGAGCCGAGTTTGAATGCCAGTCGAAACCATTACATTCACTTACGTGCTAATACCCTTAGGAAAGGTGTAAATCCTCTTCTCCCTCCAGCTAGGGGTAAAATAGCAGGACAGACTGGGTTCTATAGCCTTGGATGGCAACTGGTCTAGGAGAAGGACAACTCTGAATTCAAAACACACGGAGGGTCATTTGGGGAAACTTTGGCATGTAGTGCACCAAGTCTGTATTCGTCCCTTTAAAAAAAAGGGTGGATGGTTCTGCACAAAACCTTCACCACTATAATCAAATCTCACGTGCTGGTGTCGGGCTGTCAGTTTACTAGGAACTGATCTGCTTGGCCCTCATACATCGAATTCGACGGGAGCATCAATTTATATATATATATATATATATATATATATATATATATATGTGTGTGTGTGTGTGTGAGAGGTGTGTGTATAAAATTTCATATAGATATCTGTAAAAGGACAATGTGTGTGTTATTTTTAATTTTGTTTAAACGTTATTTTTGATGGATATTCATATTTGGATAGAAGCTCTGTTATTTAACAGTATTTTTTATCTAACTACATCTACTGGCCTAAATATTCAAGAAATCGTGTCAGAAAAACATGCGCCTTTCTGCAGGATTTGAACCTGCATCCCCTATGGGGAACCATCATTGGATCTGATGTGCCTGACCGGTCGGCTACATGGGACTTATGGTCAAATACGGTTTTATTTATTTCCATCAACCAGCCTGAATATTCAAGAAATGTTAGAAAATTATGTGGCAAGATTTCTCAAATATTCAAGCTGGCAGATAGAAATAAATAAATAAATACTGTTTAATAAATAAATAAAAACAGCATCTACTCAAATATGAATATCCATTAAAAATAACTTTTTAAACAAATAAATTAAAAATGTCGGATTTAATCTATTTCCTAAAAATTGTCTTTGTTTACGTTAGGATATGAAACAGAACAGATATGTATATTTTGAGAATCAGGAAGACAATATGTGTTCAAAAGCATTAATCAGGCTTTGTTTGACCAGGAGGTCCTATGTGGCCGAGTGGTCTAAGGCACGTCAGATCTAATGATGATTTCCCCTAGGGGATGCAGGTTCATATCCTGCTGGTGGGTGCACATTTTTCTAACAAGATTTCTCGAATATTTGGGTTGGTAGATATAAATATACTGTTTCATAAAATAAATAAAAACAGAGCACCTACTCAAATACGAGTATCCATTAAAAATAACGTTTAAACAATTATATATATATATATATATATATATATATATATATATATATATTTTAACACAGTGAGTGGTGATAATAAAACAGTACTTGATGTAGAATAACAGAGCTAAAACATACAATGCTAGATAATTAAATGCTAAATATGCTAATCAGATAACTGAGTTGATGAAAATTCAATACTAAAAGTTTCACACAGACTTTTTGCTTTTAATAAGTCATGCATAATTTTGTTATAAATATACATTTATTATAATATGACTGAAGAAAAAAAGAAGAAAAAATTTGATTTTGATAAGCTTCAAATTACTTACACATTGATAAAACTGCCCTCTGGTGCCTCCTGTAAAGAACTCTTTACCATCAGCATGCCATGCAGCACTTGTAAGACTATCCTCAGGAGACTGACTCATTTTAGCTTTTAATTCACTAGTCTAGAATACAAAAAAAAAAAAAATCTCTAGTTGGAATTTTTACAACAGAAATTTAAATTTCATTTATATTTACCAAGAAAAAAATAGATTTGATTATGAAAAAATAAACAGTGTTACAAAACTATTATAAAATGGCTACATCATTAAAAAAAAAAAAAGTATGAAAAAAGTACTTGTCAATAGATTTATAAATAGTAAGTTGTCTGATGTAAAGTACATCAAGGAATTTTTTTGTTAAAAATAGAAATACAGAAGTAACTGATAAGTCAAATGAAAATTATTTTCCATCCTATAGACAAAAAAAAAAAAAAAAAAATATCCAGATGAAGAAAAGAAGGAAAGGAAAAAAAAACACACATTCAAATTTGTTTTGAATATCATGGGGAAATAACCAAGCCTGGAAAGGTACATTATTCATATTATTTTCAATAAGAATGACTGATCAAATTTCAACAGATATTACAAAGATATCAAAAAACCTAATTTTTGTACATCCATTTTTGCAAAATGTGTCAAAAGGAATTTTATAATAAAGACTTTTGAACAAATTATTGAATGGCAAATAAAGATAATAAAAAATTAAAGTTCTAAAACAGAACAGTTGCACTAAACTGAGAGAAATAATTTGAGGGAAAAAAAAAAAAAAAAAAGGCCTTATATTTGAAGATGTCAAACAATTTTTACTAGTCACTAATAAACTGTCAAGTTTTTATCTCATTTTAACAATACTTTGAGCAACAATTGAATGAAATAAAACAATTTACACAGTTCCATTTCTGCAAGAGACCATTTATATTTAACAATTGGTCCCCACAAAAATGAAACCAATTAATTAATAATGCCATTAAATTCATCAGTACTAAATGAAAATTAAAAAAAAATAAATAAAATAAAAAAGATTACAATTGTAAAGAAAAGTCTCATGGAATAATGAAAGTGAATAGTAAGTAGTTACTAACCTCAACATTCCATAGCCAAACCTCTGCACAGTCATCTGGCCCACAAGCAATTATAAACTTGCTATCAGGATGCCATGCTATGTAGGAGACACCATATGAATGACCTTCATATGCACGGCGTATAGTCAATTCAAATGATTCCTGAAAAGTCACAGAAATTATCAAGTATCAACGTTTTATCAAATTTTTTAATTAGATCCCCATTATACACTAACCAATAAAATTGAGTTCAAAGTTGTAAATTAAAAGATCTACATGTAAATGTCTACAATAACAATCTACAAGTAACATTTATCTATTCCTGTATAGAAATGTTTTTATTTTGTTTCATTTTTAAGTTAAAGACTGAATTTTTTAGAGTTATTTTAAGAAAAAAAAAACATTGAATAAGTATTTGTTATATGAATGAAAAACTTACTATGTCCACATCCCAAATCATCAAAGTACCATCTTTAGAACCTGTTGCTAACTTAGTACCATCCGGAGAGAAACGGCAGAACCAAACTTCATCACAATGATCGTTTAATATTTGAATTGTATTACATGGAAATTGATCCCTACAAAGAAAAATAAAATTGATATTGCGTCATAATGATTAAAAAAACAAAATTTCAATCCATTTTTTCATTTGGCTTTGTAAACAGTGCATACAGAAATTATTAAATTGCTTATATAGAAATACATCTGAGAAATGATTGCAAGAGAAAAATGTAACCAACTTATCACATCAAATATATATTAAACAAAGACATTAACTTGCTTTATTCCTTTATGATAATTTTGCAATATGTTGAATTGTCCTCCAACATTCTGCAACATCAGGAAATTGTCAAACAAGGTTTCCTACAGGAAGTCAAAAAACCAGACAATATTTTCAAATAAACAACCATGATGCTTCATGTGTTTTGCATGTAGATGGCAATTTTCCATGAAGAAAGTGTGCATGTGCAAATGTGATCCTTATAATACCATCAGCTGATGAATATTCATGAACTCAACATGTATTTAAGGATTTGCATGAAAAGGCAAACATTTTGCTGCTAACAGTTACTGAAAAGTTTGCAAGTGACTATGATCTATAGTGGGGACCGTGCATTCCACAGTTTATGGTGTTTGAGCACACTTTCCTTTCTAGCAAACCCATTTTGAAGTTCGTCTATGTTTGCATCAGAGAATTGACAGACTTGCAAAACCATATATCTATCCAATTACTCTTTTAGGTTATATATATATATATATATATATATATATATATATATATATATATATATATATATATATATATATATATATATATATATGTATGTATGTATAGAGAGTAAGAGATAGATAGATCAAGAAATGTATAGGGACAATAAGTTTAATGCTGTAGCCACCAAGTAAAATCATGGCAATCAATAGGCACATTACCATAATGGAAGAACCTTTCATTCTCCATATCTTTTTGGTTAATGTTGCTTTTATGGATAATATTAGTTATTAACTTACTCTTATGAATTTAATCAATCTAAATGTTTTCCAATGTTGCCACGACCTTGCAAATTGGTCGTATGCCCACACCCCTCAAAAAAAAAAAAAAAAAACTACTTATTTAGATAACCCAACACTTTTCCATAGTTACAAACTGTTCTAGGAGATCAGTAAAATTTAGTTGAAAATGGTGCAAATAGACACTTTAATGATCCAAGTATATTTACTGATTTGTGCTCAAATGCAAACAGTGTTTTGCAAATCTCATGTAGAGGTTGGAGGTAGAAATAGGTTTTTTGGAGACATTGTCAGAATATAGTGGCTACCATACATTTTATTAAAATATAAATCCTTTGAATATATTTTCAGGCATGTTTTCCCCAAAAAAATTTATGCGTTTTTTGAGGATCTGTTGGGTGGAAATCAGATTTAGAGCAATGAAAGAGGCCAATTTTGAAGAAAATTGTTTTTTTTTCAGTTATTATATCATTGCTGCAATGATTATTAACATGTTTCTGGGTAAAATATTACTCAAAACAAGAAAAGGCATAAGATTTCAAAATGATCAAAAACATTTTAATGACATGCATTATCGTTCAGTCAAATATCATGGTAGATTATCTCAAGAATAGGGCTAAACCTGCACAAAAATTCTTTTTTTGCCCAAAAAGAACAAAGAAATGTTTTTTAAAGATTGTTGAAAAGATAGTACAAACGAGATCATTAGTAATAACAAAAATCATTTTAATTTGTCATGTTTAGATGAGACTTTATTCACATATGCAGCATTGGCTAATAAAGTATTTTTGAGCGAGAAAATTAAAAGTTCCTTAAAAAATTTGGTCTGCATCAACAATATGGCCAGGTTAGTGATCCTCAATAACATCAACTAAAATATTCTACATATATTTTCCTTATAAAATAGCGCCAACAAAAATGTTCAATAAAAACATTGAACACGCATCACTCACCATAAATGAAGCATTACAAATGCAAGAAATGTAGACTGCGTGAATAAATATCCATTAATTGGGTTAATAAATAAAGGATGACATACCTTCAGAAGATCATTTTCAGCATTATGGATCAAACAATAGCATATGGTTAAAAACTCTTAAAGTGCAGTGTGGTGTAATGGATATTGGCTTGAAATGAGAAATCTGAGAGCAGAGTTCAAATTCCAGTCAGGTTCGTTGCATTCACTTATGCACAAATACCCTTGTGAAAGGGTATGAATCCATCTCTTCTTCCCCCATCTATGGGTTGAATAACAGGACAGACCAGGCCCTATAGTCCTGGTTGGCAATCAGTCTACCGCAGCAAGAAATGGCAACCTACTGTGGGAAAAATCTTCTGTGTAGACAGTCATGAATGAAGAGACATGATTGCCCAAGCATGTATCACATGTGGCACTTAACCGAGTGAACCATAAACTATTGCATTTCCATGTAAAATGTGTAAACCTTCTAGTTAATCCCTTAATCACCAAGTAGATACTCAAGAATAAATTAATTTGAAGAAAAAAAGTTGCTTAAAACATCATTAGTAGCTTGCTTTATTAAAAAAAAGAAAGAAAGATGGTATATTTCATGACATGACCACTAACCTCATTAAGTATACACTACCAATGTTTACTTGTGCAATAACAGTTGAAGGTCTCATTAATAGTTGAATCACAGACTGCATTATTACGGAATATCATTAGTACAGCCTCAAAATTACATAGGTAATTGATGACATAACATGTATATTTTTGTCACATATAATACATACTCAGTGTTTGGATTCCAATTGGTAATTATACAATGAGTAACTTTTTTTTCTTTAATACTTTATTCCATTTCCTGGCTGATTACATTCTAAATTTTCATTCAATATTCAAATACTAATGCATCCATTGGTAATAACTATTTTAATGTATATTTACTGTTTTGTACTATTAACCTTTAGCACTTTGTAGGTGACTATTTTTGCCAAGCTAAATGTTAATTTTACCAATGCAAGTTGAATTTGAATTTCTTGGTTGTGTAGGCATGTCCTTCTACGGACACACCTAAAACAATCCTGACTAAAATTGAGAGTCAGGCTACTACAATTTCAAATATATAGAATATATAAATCACTATATTTTGAGGTGATTCCATATACAGTAAAAGGGGAAGTAATGTTCATAAATGATGTATTATTCTCAAAATTTAAATCCAAGCTAAAGTGGAAAAAAAAAAGAAAAGGAAAAAGTAAAATATACAAATACAAGATTTAGATGAAACTAAAAGCAAAATGTTTATCCAATGAAAGTTAAATCATGACAATGAAAGAAAAACATTGAACATTATCCTGCAGATATTTCAATACATGTAACACTAAATATATAAAGCATTTTTAATAGGAAAAAAAAAAAAAAAAGCACATGTTTGTACATACAAAATACTTTTTTTGAAATCAAACTATAGCTTGCAAGTTTTAAGACTTTGATGTTGAAACACCAAATATCAAACAGCTATACTCTGCCAAATGACTAAAAATATTTTTTTTTTTTTTACAAAAGTTGTAAAACATCAAGATGTGTAATAATGACCACTTTAAAACCTTTTACAAACCATACTCTCAAACACAAGTAACTTTGTGTGCCATCTTTCAATATGCCAGAGATTATGCTGTGTATACAAAATTAATATTTAAAAGTTACATACTTTCATTATTGTTGGATTTACATACAATAATGCAATTAGCTTAAGCTTTGAAAGTATAAGTTTACAAAATGAAAGTGGCAATTCTATATTTTATCAAATATTTGCATTTGCAATATTAAAATGATTAGGATTGGTAAAAATGTGAAAGTATTACAAAAAACAATAAATGAATTTAAAGAACAGTGTGTTGTTTATTTTTTTTTTTATGTCTGGTTTTTAAATCCTCTAATGGACTCTCCCATCATTTTTAATATGTATGAGTGTCAAGCAACTCAGTTCCTAGAAACTGACATACAGACTAGCTGCACAAATCATTTGATTATAGTGGTGAAGGCTTCAAGCAAAACCAATCATACTTTTTGAAGAGCTGAATACAGAGGCCTAGTACACTACGTGCCACAAGGTCCCCCAAACGACCCTCCACAGGTTTCCAATTCAGAGTTGTTGTTCTCATCGATCAGTTGCCATCCAAGACTATAGAACCCAGTCTGTCCTGCTATTTTACCCATAGCTGGGAGGGGGAAAAGAGGATTCACACTTTTCCCAAAGGTATTAGCACGTAAGTGAATGTAACGGATTTGACTGGAATTCAAACTCTGCTCTCAGATTCCTCAATTTGAGCCACTATCCATTACACCACCATGCTGCCTTTAAATTCTATATATACATACACACACAAAAATTCCTTAACAGAGAAAGCAAATTTTACCCTTCAAATAAATTTAAAATAAGTGTGATTTGCTCAAATTTAAATACTTTTGGAAATTGTTTATTCCAAGAGATTAATGACAATAGAAAAAAAATGCCATGAATCACTTTCATAGTATATATATATATATATATATATATAATTTTTTTGCAATCTGCACAGTAACATGTCCTTCCCTAGAATTTACAAGGCCATTAGTTTGTTTATTGAAATAACAAATGTCAGATGATCATCTAGATCAGATGTGGCTAACTTTTCACGTCACATTTTTTTTTTTTTTAAGCATGCATTTCAAAACATATTGTCTATTAATTCTTGAACAAATTTTTTATTTATATAATTTATTGATTTAATAGGAAAAAAAAAAACTTAACCATTCTCTTAATGAGGCTTTTGAGTGTTTTGATTTAGCTAAACTTTTAATATTTGGGGGTTATTGAGAACAGCAGAGATTTCTTTAAATTAGTCAATTGCAAGCTAGTTTTCATTTTAATCAGAGCTGAAAATGCTTTAAAATGACATGTTTTAAAATGAAGGTCCAAATGAGCAAATTTTCCTGGTTCTGAAAAATGTTCACAGGGTCAAGATAGCTATAATGATTAGTATAATTACATTTAATCATGTAATGCACCACTTTTGGTACAGGCATCACTGGTTGACTATGCTTGATCTAAATGACAATATGCTCTTAACAAACAACAACAAAATAAGTTTTATGAAAATTTCTTAAAAACTAACCTGGTACAAGTGTGATCGATGAGTAAAGAGATGGCATCAAGATTATTGTCAAGTTTCGTATTGTGGTATGGACATTGGTCTGTTTGCAGCTCTACTGCTTGGCTAAGCAAAGTCTGTAATCGGCGAGGCGGTAACATCACAGAGGGTGGAAGAAAGGCTATAAAACAGAGCACAAGCAAAAACTTATTCTATAACTAATACTTACTGTTTTATAATGGTTAAAATCAATAGAAATGTTGTTTTACTGATAATTTTTTTAAAGATATTTTATCATCCATAATATGAACACCTATTAATGTGATGGATTTATTTTGATTAGAGATTTTAGCAAACATCCTTCCAGAAGAGGATTTTTAAAATATTTCCATATCATCTAATTTATAAATATAATCTGTAAACAATATTTTAGAAAAATACAAGCCTTTATCAAATGGATGACATGTACGAAAGAAAAAATTAAAGAAAAAATTAATTTGGTGCAATGAAGCCCATCATTTTCTTATTATACAGATTCCCAATTTTATGAAATTAAAAAAACAAAAATCTGTCAAGTTTTAAAAAAAAATTCATATAGATGTTATTTAATATATTGGATTTAAAATAAATACATTTAGGTTTTGGAAATTTGGCATCATTCAAAAATCTTAATGATTTGAATTTCACATTAAAATTAAGGATAAAGAATCCAAATTAAAATATTAAATTAATAAATCTCATTATAGTTCATTACTTTTGTATTTCTCAAAGCTTTGACTTAAACATTTTGACAAATCAAATTTCTGTTGGAATTTTTGAGATGAGGAATTACTCACATGCCTTGATTGTTATACTTGCAGCTTTTCGCATTATTGTAGCCTCTAGCCTTCTTTAATGTATGTTGAGCTCTGTAACCTTCGAAATTCCATGCAGGTTACTGAGCATAACAATGGGCACTTCAAGAATGCCAGAATGTACAATGGCAGAAACACTGTGAGTACAACAATCAAGATGAAGATGTGGATCCAAATAGCAAAGCATATTATAAAATCATAAATATGTTTGACAAAGATTAAGAGTCTAAAAATAGATAGAAAATATTTTATTGCTTCATTATTTTAATGATTTATGTATTAAAACAAATTAAAATACTTTCTATAAAATGTTTGTTTTAAATTAACAATAGAATGTTTTGCCAATGCTTGTAAAATACATTGATTGATACTTTGTGGATGTTAGGTAAAATATGCCATCATAAAACATTTTATTAATTTTTTTAAAAAATAACTGATAAACAAATTTTTGTAGCTCCAAGTAACCTCGATCAAAATCTAAATAAATTAGCCAATGTATTAGAAAAATCCAAAATGCAATACTCAACATTTCACTTCTTAATGTTGGAATAAGGTAAATGCATTTCTTCTATAAAAGATAAATTTTATATAAATCTATTTCCTTTGTTCATAAGTTCTTTTAGAAAAAGAAAGAATAAACAACAAAAATGAGGGCAATCATTATCATTGGTGATACTAAAACTAATCACTATAATAATAATGTAAATAACAATTAAAAGTAGTCATCACTTACATTGTAATTTTTCAATAAGTTTTTGCCTGGATACAATTCCTTTTCCTTCCCATTCTGAGGTTTCCCTTAGATCTTGTGAACTGTTACACATCATATACCTAAGTTGAGAAAAAAAAAAAAAAAAAAAGCAATCAAAATATCTCAAAATAAAATATTATCCAAACTATATATATATATATATATATATATATATATATATAATAAAATTTAAAAAGCATTAAATCAGAAAAAAGGTATTTTAAAAAATCCTGAAACTTTCAAAACTGAAATAGCAAACATGGCTGATAATTTTATATTCAAATGGTTTAAAATATTAAAAACAAATTATTAACAAGTTACTCATTTCTAATTTATTAATAAAATGCCATGCAGTTTTTCCATGCCTTTGGATACTTAAATTCAAAACATATATACAATGGCATTAAAATGCCAAAAGGAATTGTTGCATAATTGATTTTATGGATAATGAATCAATTCAGTAGGTAATAAAGTGATTTCAATTTAAAACTTAACTTTTTAAAAATCAAACATTTTGTTTGATATTTCCCTTGTGATTGATCAGAATTATAACTAACTCAATGTTCTATTTATTATTTCCTTACATATTTTTGTGATTTGACAGTATAAGAGATGAGAAACATTTTGATAACTCTCTCTCTATATATATATATATATATATATATATATATATATATATATATATATATATAAAAATAATGAAATGGACAAAGTCAACAATTATTTTAAGACATTTTATGTTTATACATTCTTTTTATAGATACAAATATTTGAGTAAATGCTTTTTTTTTATAATAAACAGTATTTAAATGTTATTTAATACTGTTTATTATAAACTGAGCATTTACTTAAATATTTGTATCTATAAAAGAATGTAGAAACATAAAATGTCTTAAAATAAATAAATAAATATATATATATATATATATATATATATATATGAGAGAGATCAACATTATGCCTCTATATTTTACAAATACAGCACAAAATTATAGTCATTTAAGAGCACAAATATAATTTAGCACTATGGTCCAGATTCTACACCAAACAAAGGGAATGCTAAATATATAAAATAATTACATTTTGAAAATAGGAAGAAATATTTTAGAGTGATACTTACGTACTAAGCTCATGAACTCTTTCAGTATTAAATTTAAGTGGAGTTAGCTCATGTCGTAAACAATGTAATGCATCCAAAATCTTTCCTTCCTCCAAAAATTCAAGATACTTTTGTTCCAAGATAAGAAATTTCATTTTCTAAAATAGAACCAAATAAATAGACGTTTGCATTAGTCAAAATTTTAAGATTTGTGAACATCACCTTGAATTTAAGTAAATTACAAGAGAAAAAAAAAGATGAATCAGAATGAAAAAAATTTAAATTTTTACGACATTTCCATCTTGTTGAAAATTAAATACATTAAATATAAAAATAGTTGCTAAAACTGCAAAGTTCCTTTTTTTTTTTCATAAAACAGTTATTAAATGAAAATCTAAGATTGTCAAAATAATGTACAAACAAAGAATTTATTATTTGTAATGTCAAAGACTATTTAAAGTGAAACAAAAAAAAGAAAAAAAAAGTAATTTATTGAAGAATTAATAAATTGAATGAAAACTCAGATTTATCTAACATACTGATTTTCTATATACATGTCAGGATTTGCCATCAGTATTCTTTATATGTAATGTGACAACCTTCTAGTATATATAATTATTGTAAATACAAACAAAACAAACCATTTTTACAATAATCATTAAAGACTTGTTTTTATTAAAACCATTTGAAGCATACATAGACAAATGAGAGATTTCTTTATAAACATTTCCAAAGAAACTAATCTGAAAAATTCAATTTTGTACAGAGTTTGGAAATTGAGAAAACAAGTCAATTATGTAAGACAACAGTAAATATGTATAGAAAAAAAAAAAAAAAAGGAAGAAAAAGAAATGAGTAAATTTATTAAAGAAATAATAATGTTAAAGGAAAAAAGGGATTTTCTGATTAGGATTGTTAAAAAAATTAGTGGCATTTAAAAACAAATCAGGATATATAAACGAATGTTGATCTTTTTGAAATTATCATTACTGTTTTGTTTTTTCTAGCTTTATTGGCTGATATAAACCTTTGCAGTGGTTAGAAATCAGATCTGGCACAAAGTTATATAGACTTGACTAGAACTCTTTCACTAAAGTTTAAAAAAAAAAAAAAAAAAAAAAAAATAGCAAAAGAAGCAATTGATACCAATTGAAAACAAATAATTGAAAAGGTTACTCACTAAAATTGTCTGACAACTGTCCTCAATTAACAATTTCAGTTCATTCAGATCATGGTCAGCCTAAAATCAAAATGTATTCTTTAATAATAGTGAGGAGAAATATAGACAAACAATAAAAAAAGTTTTAAAAATAAAATGTTTTTTGCTGAATATAGGAAATTTCAAACATTTTATATCAAAATGACTCATGTAAATTGTTCAATAAAATAACCATTTTGATGCAAATGTGTGATACTCATGGCACTCTTTGATTCTTTACAGAAAATATCTGTTAAAATAGCAATTACATTAATTTGACAAGAATTTAAACTTTAATAAGGAGAAAAAAAATATTTTTGTTAAATTTCTGTAGCCTCAATTGTAATAAGTCTGGACATTATTTTTTTTTTCATCTATAATTGCCTAAACATTATTTGAATCTCTTTCGGGGAAATTTATTTTTATAGGATTCAATTCGCTTATATATTTCTTCAAGAGGAAGATGGAAATGATGTGTGAATTTTTTTTAAAGGCTATTCATTCACACAAAGAAAATATGACGACATCAATAACATCAAACGAATATACACAATGGCTAAACAGCTGATACATAATAGTAATATAGACATTTTTTTATTATTATTGTTTAATAAATTAGCGCTAATATTTTCGATAGGATCGATTGCAAATCGGCATCACTGGAAATCGGTATACAAAGTCGAAATAATTATCGATTATTCAGACAATAAAATCGTGAAGTGATGAGGGAAAACCCTCAACAGGAAGTTAAAGGTATACAAAACCGAGGCTTCCTGTTTGATTAGAAAATAGAGCCAACCCAAACAAGATTAAATAAAAAGCCTCAAGATTTTAACGGAATATTTAGACATAGAATGAAATCTAGTTAATAAACAATTATGTAAGGAGGGGAAAGACATTTTCAAATGATTGATAATTTACATTTTTGAAAAGAATCGATCCACACTAGACTTAAGGCATCGTAAAAATTAATAAATACTTCAATTCATTTAAAAAGGCTGCATTTTTACAAGACCTGCTTTTTTGAATAACATTAATTAAATAAAAAAAAAATGTCGATATTCTATTCAATTAATTATTCCAATCAGAATAAACTGAATAAGATATCTATTTATTTCTAATTTCTGAATATTTCCAACATTTTAAAAAATTTTTAAAGTAAATATTTTCATAATCTTTTTTCGCAATCAGAAATATCGAATAAAACGAAAAAATAAAATAAGTCCTATTCAAACGAATTGTACAAGTGATTTTTTTATTTATCAAAACCTCTAAAAATAAATAAAAATAAAAAGATCGAAGGTTTGGAAAAAAAAATAAAAAATCGATTTTTTTTGTTTTCGTTATATTGAAGATTTTTTATTTTAATGATTTTAATCTAAATCTGTTTATGAAATGAAAACTAAAATAAATCAACTACTACTACTATAGACAACCCAGAAGCATTTATAAAATAAATTCTAGTTAAGAGAGCGAAAAAAAAACAACAAAAAAACGAATAATACGTAAAAATAAAAATAAAATTAAAAATGATTTCGATGAACTGATTTTTTAAGAAAATACATTTTTTTTTCGAATCGAGAATTTATCTTTGATTGTATAAATAACAATAAAAGCAAACCAGACTTCTTTTCTTATATATCGTTTTTTTTTTTTATTAGTATTACTTACTTACTAAGAAAAGACTATAAATATCCCTTCTTTTTCTCTCATTCACAGTAACCTACTTATTGTGGAAGAGAATTTTAAATCCATTGTTTTTATAAAGTTAAAACTACTATGCAGTCACTAAATAAATACACACATAAAAAATCCATGTTTAAATCTAAAAATAAAATTTAGATAAATAATATGTAACATAAACTATAAGTAAATAAATCATTTTTTTTTTCTTTTTTGTCAACGAAACGGAGACCGAAATCGTAAATAAAATTCGCCAATTATTGTTTATTAACAAGACGAGAGAAATAAATACTACCAATCTGATATTATTATCCTTCTTTTCTTTTTTATAGATATATATTATTTTATTTTTAATTTTTGCACAATTAAGTAAAATAATGAAAAAGTAATTACTGAAATTCGGGTGGGGGAAAGAAGGGTGGGGAAAATATAAATTTTAAGGAAAAAAAAAAAAAGGGTAAAATTATGAAGATTATTGAATAATACCTTGACAGATCGAGACGGAGACGAAGCATTTTAATAAAAGTAAATAAAAATAAAATTATATTATAAATCAGACCTTTTCCCATTCGCCATCCATGACATGTCCCCGAAATTTAGCAGCGGCTGGATGTTCCAACATACAACCAGACTCTGACATCAACAACTCGGCAGTGCGACTAAAATACACAAAATAAGAGAATTATTACAATAAAATTATATATTTGAAAAATAAAATAAAAAAAACAATATTAACAGGAAAAAATGACAAAATATGGACGATTTAATTTTGATAATAAAGAAAGAATATTAGCCATTTGATGAGAAAAATTATCCTTTATTTTTAAAGGTTTTTTTTTTTATTTTTTTTTAAAAAAAAGGCATTTAAAAAAAAATTCAAATTTATGCAAAATAAATCCTTTATTTTTATAAATCAGCACAGATTGAAATTTTCAGACTTTGAGATAGATCGATAGATAGACAGACAAACACACAAATTTAATTTTTCTCAATATTTTTCCCTATATAAAGAGAATTCAATAATAAAGTTAATTATGTTCTTGAGTTTCTGGTTGTATTAAAAATAGAAGTTTAACATTTTTATAGCCAAGCTTATTTTTCTGTTCACCTAAGAGAGAAAAAAACGGAAAATAAGTTTTTTTTTTTTCAAAATATACACAAAAAATGTGTATATAATTAAATTACCAACCTAACAGTTTCTTGTTGGTATTTTTTTTTTAAACAAAGAGTACACATTCTAATGCATACACACACACGCATATATATATATATATATATATATATATATATGTAAAAGTGATATTATTTAGCAATATATTCACCACAACCAGTTTAAAAAAAAAATACAGTGGCTTCAGGAATTACTTTAGGGGCATTTTTTTTTATCGTTACTTATAAAAATAAAATCTATTTATTAAAAATAATTTGGGATACATATTTTGATGAAAGGAAATATATTGTAATTATAATACTAGAAATAATCATAGTAATTAAAAAAAAATAATACTAATAAAGAAAGTCTCTCTATCTTGTGTTAGTTAAATGGTTATAAACATATACTATATTTAAAAAAAAAAAAAAAAAGAACTAACTAAAAAGCAAGTGAAGTAGTAGTGTCATGTCAACAAGCTAGTCTTCCTTCTCATTCACTCAAGAGGGACGGGACTCACTTCAATCCGAGTCCTCGCAGATGCTGGCCGATTAATCGAACAACGTCTTGATCAGCCCTCGACATATTTTTTAGAAGATGTTGTTTATCTTCTGGTGTCGTCACTTCACCATTAGCTGTAGCAGAACAGGTACCATTCGGTCGCGAAGTCGACGCTACCTCCTCGCTCTCTCCATTGTGCTGAGGGCAGCCATTTGACTGCATGTTAGCGGCTGAAACTCGTTGCTTTTTGGGCGGTGGGGGAGAAACTCCACCGTCTTCTGATTCTGAGGACGATGCCAGAATTGCCGAATTGCTTATGTTATTTGTTGTATCATTAATATAAGTGAACAATCAGCCCCTAATGTTACCAACTTCGACCACTGCGTACACGGCACAACACTCAGTGACCAAATTTGTTTTGCTAGATGACGTCAGTGCCGTCGTAGCATCATGGGAAATTCCATGTATATGTATATACATTTATATACATGAAAATATATACGTATAAAAAGTTCGTCTTTTTTAGCTTTCTCCCCGATTCTTGATATTTCTCTCCTTCGAGAAGTAATACGCTCTTATATATTTATCTTTATAATTTATTTTTTAAAAATATTGTTCGTGCTTCTATAGATGCCTGCCCGTGTTTCAAGTTATGTCTGTTTGTATGTGTGTCTGTATAATACGCATACAGACACGCACTCTCTCTTTTTTTATGTGGGCTTTGCTCGCGTATCCAACTGTATATAAAAACTAAAGAGACTAAAAAAAGTAACCTCTGTTTTTATGCAATTGCTTCTTTTAAGTCTATTAGAGTGGATTGTCCTTTTTACGTATCTCACATGAAGCACAGTCACTTCCACCAGATAAAAAATATATTCTTCTCTGTGACAATTAAATCTTGGATGGGAAGCAAATGTTCCCAACTGTAGAGTTGTTTTGATTGTTAGATGATTTCAAAAACGATTTACTTATGAACATAGAATTTTAATTTATTTATTTTCTAACTAGTCCGGTTCTAAGAAAGATTGGCAATTTTTTTTTTAAAAATCAGTTGATTTAATTTTAAAATCACAAAAAAAGCTTTTTTTTCATTAAAAATGGTTTGTTAAAAAAATGGAATTAAAAGTGTTTACAAAAAAAAAAAAACAATGTTTACCGTTTGTTTGGTAGTGTTTAGTTTTAAGTTTAGTAACATAATCCAACATCCCAAGTAAATCTTTTTTAAAAACAGATATGATGCAATAAAAATAATATAAAATATATTATTTTAAATAACAATTTAAATTTAAAAATAAAGTTAATTCCGATTAAACTTAAAAACTGATGAGATAAAAAAAAAATTAGGAGCTTTTTTTTTTTTGCGAAAGACAAAAATTACCAATAACTCCATAAATTATTTTCTGATACATTAATGTCATAATTTAATCTAAATGTATTAACTTAACGATTATTTTATGTCAGAGAATTGATGTCTTTAAAAAAAATGATGGGAGACGTGAAAATCCTGCAGTTTTGTCAGACCTTAAAAGACAAGAGTTACGCCTCTTTGGCCTTTTCATTACAAAAGTCTTTTATATCTTTATGCCACTTATTTGGATAAATAATTGTTTCTTAAGATATTTTGCAGGAAATTCTTTTGTATGATTTCTTTTGTGCACCTTTCAATTAAATCTTTCATAACAATAGCTATAGAATAGCAAACAAAAAAGCTAAAACAAGATCTTCTTATTTTAAAAAAAACTATTTTCATTTATTTCAACTTTTGATCAACTATAAACAAAAAAATATTGTTATCAGTAACTTTTTGCCTTTTTTTTTTTTAAGTTCTGAGAGTTTTAAACTAAATTCATTAAATGCTGGAGATAAGCTATAAATAGATTTACCCAGCTATAAATGAATCATTGTTAGATAATAAAAAAATAGTTAATTAAATTTTCAGTTGAGGATAGATGCTGTTCACTAAGTAATTTAATTTAGCATCATTGCTTAATTATCTTATAAGCAGTTTGCCATAAAATAAAATTAAAAGTGGGAGGGTACTAAATCAGATATTAAAAGTAGTGGGGGCTAAATCAGTCATTAATTTTTACATTTTTAATGATTTCTGATTCTATATATTTTTATCTGATTCTGAAATAAACACTTTTTGTTTGGATTTTAAATACACAATTTTTTTGTTGTTTACTTGTATTTATTTTCTGGAATCAAACCTATAAACTTTTTTCGCATACAAGACGTATATGGAAATTTCTTAAGCTGATATTTGAAAGAAAAAAGAAGTATGTTTTCTGATTTATTTTGAAAATTAATAGCAATAATGATTTTAGACAAATGATAGCATTGTTACAGTTTGAGGGCAAGGGGAAACAAATTTAGTTTTCTGTTCAGTTCTCAGTTTAAAAAAGTAGGGTGTCGAGAGACCCCCCCCCCCTCCTAGGCCCCCAGTAATGCTAATGAGCACTTCGATGTGGTATAATGGTTAGCAAACTTGTCTCACTAGGTCTATTACAACTAAGTAGTGAGTTTGATCCTCCCTGGGTGTTCCTTGTGTCACATGTAAGCTATGCTTATGATGTAATGAATATGCATACACCTGGGTTCCCCCTCACAGTAATATGATTGGCTGGTGTCAGCCATAAATACAGACTGATCTGGAGGTACATGGACTACATCTATTGTCTTCGCCTATTGCCTACCACTACGACGAGGACCAGTCCATTACGGTTACCTGCTAGATTGTCCTACTCGGTTACAGTAGTCAACAACCACTTTGCTACTTCGAACAAATATATCCCTTTCTGGGACATATCAGCTTACAAAATCATTATAGTGCCAAAGATAACGTCCAGTAATGAAATAGAATTAAATTGTTATATTAAACTGTGCGTCTATGAAAGAAAATTGTCATCCCTATTTATTGCCTTGTCTTTAAATATATGTCAGTATTCACCTACCATGAAAATTATAGATATTTACAAGACTTTTCATGCATTGACTATTGCTGCCACATCTGGTCTGGTGCTCCTGCTATATATTTAGAGATTAATGATAAAATACAAAGAAGAATGTGTAATGTTATCAGTCCTGACTTAGTATCTAGACTCTCTGCTTCAGTTACTTTCCCACAGCCATAATGTAGCTTCCCTGTGCCTTTTCTGTAAATACTTTCATGGTAATTATTCTGAATTATTCTTTGGTAACTCGACTTTACAAACTTAAGCACAATACTAGATTGACAGCTAGATTACATCATATAATCGTAAGTTCTATGCTAACAGTTTCTTTTTGAACACTTCTCATTTGTGGAACTCTCTTTCAGCTTCTTGCTTTCCTGAATTTAATGTTTAAAAATTTAAGTACAATGTTAATCATTATCTTCTGCTTTCTTAATTTTTGTTATTTTATTGTCCTCTCCCCTTAATAATGTTTCTTTTTTTTCTGTTATTCTTTCACACTCACTAAACCTCTTGTGTTTTAGTAGCTTTATTGCCTTCCTTGAGCTGAAATGATGAAAAAAAAATCTTTGTGTTGTATCAATTTTATAAATGAATGGAGAGCAACACTCAAAACCCTGGCTTTTATCTGCATTTGAACACTGATAAATAACAATCCGTTAGTAAAATTTTTCTTTCATGATAGACTGATCTTTTTCTTTTGACTACATATGAAAAAATTTAGAATAGATAACTATCTCTTCTAAATTCTTTTGTAAATAAACACACATTTCTGATAATTTTACATTTGATATGATATTTAGAAATTTAATATTTACACATAATGTGGAACAATAGTGTAAAGGTTAATAGATCTAAATTTTTATCTATGAACTCAAACTGTGATGTTTCTTGGCAAATGAGTATGGCACATTACCCAAAATAAGATTGGTAAGAGTGTGTTGCACCAAGCTTCTAAATAGGGAAGGCTCTTCTCTCTTCCACTTGGGCTCAGCTAACAACCACTGACACAAGTAAAAAATATACAAATACTACAAGCATGACATGGACCATGTATTGATATATACATATAAATATGTATATATCAATATTTTATTTTTTAACCATTTTACCCAAGTGAGGCAATAAAGCCACTGAGACAAAAGGGGTTACTGAATGTGAAAGAAACTAAGAAAACATTGAAGAGAAAGGACAATAAAAGGATAAGATTCAAGATGAAAGAAGATGAGGATTGGTATTGTATTTAAATTTTTGAAGATTGTGATTGACAGGAAAGCAAGAGGCCAGAAGAGAGTTCCACAAGCGAGAAGTGTGAGAGAAGAAACTATAAGCATAAAACTTACAGTTATATCTAGTAATTTCAACAGTGAAATTATAAAACCTATCTGCCAATATAATATTGTGCTTAAATTTTTAAAGTTGAGGTGCCAAAGAGGAAAGTTTATCGGAACAATTGCCATGAAAATATTTATAGAAAAGCCATAGGGAAGCTACATTATGACAGTAACTGAAGGCAAGATGCCAAGTCAGGACTGATAACATTGCAGATTCTTCTTTGGATTATATCAAGAATCTCTAAATATATAGCAGAAGCACCAGACCACAATATTCAAAGCATGGACGAATAGTAGACTTATAAATATGTAAGATAGTTTCTAGTGAGAAAAATTGTCTAGCATGAGACACAGTGAACCAACTTTTCTAGCAGCAGGCCTACCAATTGATTCAATATAATCTTCCAACTTCATGACAGTGGTAAACGTTAGTCCGACAAGGTGCTTGAGTTACTCTCCTGGAGGTTAGCATCAACCAGGATGATGGAAGCACAAAGGGTTCTCTCAAATATTTAAAAGAGATCAGTTTTGTTTTGAAGGTGTTAAAATTAACAAGCCATTGCTTGCCCCAGTTAACAATAGATTGTAGGTCACTTTTGAGATCAGTTGCCAATTTGACTTTACTGAACTGATCAAACTTACCATTAAGACAGAAGTAAATAATTGTGTTATCAGCATACATATTGAGTTGACAACTGATGACATCAGGAAGGTCATTGATGAAAATTAGGGACAATGTAGGTCCAAAGATAGAGCCCTAGTGAACACCTGTATTAATGCAAAAAGATATAGAAATGTGGCCATTCAGTACAACTTTCATTTCACGATTTGATAAGAAAGTCTGAATCAGTTTGAAAAGTTTACCAAAAATACTATAACCTTTCAACCTGTGAAGACTAGTACACCAAACCCTGTCAAATGCCTTCTGAGATATTCAAAGCAGCTGCCCGTGCTTCACCATTCTTACCTAAAATCGGCAAGAACTTATTTATTTAATAAAAATATTTGAATAACAATGCCCATTATTTACATTATTTGGACTATTGTCCTAATCTTTGTTGCCATATTTATTACAACGTTTTGGTCGTTGTACGCTACGGCCTTATTCAGGTGGTTGGAATGTCGAACTGAACCCTTTATTTTGCTCACTGGGGTAGACTATTCTAGTTCCACATGACATGTTTAATGGATGTCAGTTATCAGTTATCTCCTATTAATTACCCTCAGAAAGTTCTCCACTTCCTTAACCGGGTATTGAAATCACACTTTTTGGGTCTTGTTATTGGATCTAATATGTCCTTGAGGACTAGAACAGTCTACCCCAGTGAGCGAAATAAAGGGTTCAGTTTGACATTCCAACCACCTGAAGAAGGCCTGAGAGTACAACGTCCGAAACGTTGTAATAAATATGGCAACAAAGATGAGGACAATAGTCTGAATAATGTAAATAGTGTACATAATACCTCATCTCAGAAATATAGACAGATACTGAAGGATCGGATAAATATGGCAACAAAGATGAGGACAATAGTCCGAATAATGTAAATAGTGTACATAATAAATCATCTCAGAAATATTGACAGATACTGAACAATGCCCATATATCCTGCTGTGTGTTTACGAGTCAGACTCCCCTGCTAACACTGAATATTATTGCAATATTGCAGACATGTTGCATTTTGGTTGGAGGATATGTGACATTGTGGTGACATTACTGTAACATTGTAATAAATTATTTTCCTGTACAATCACCGAAGTTAAGCAATGTTGAGCATGGTCGGTACCTAGATGGGTGACTGCTTGGAATGAATTGATTTAAAAAAAATCTCTGATATAGAGTGCTATAATAACACAAAGACTGCTTGCCTTAGAAACATCATCTTCCATAATTACCCTTGTTGACAGCTTTTTGGCAAAACACAGTCTTTGTTGTCACATATTGTATGATAGAAATGAATCAGGCAAACTGAAGAGACCCCAACTTGTGTTCATCATGCACAACAGGAACAATCAGTTTCATCTTTGAAGCATTTGTTGACCACTCCCCAACAAAAGTTGTCCTCTTTCATATGTGAATGTTTGGAAAGACAATGCAAGTGAAGGTGTTGCCAAGATTTGCAATTTGCATATGGACTGAGTAACTAATTTGCATGGTAGCAGTAATGATTGATTATTAACCAATCCCTGCTGATCTCTGATTGGGACCAAGGATACTTAAGACTGCTTCTTTTTTTTTTTAAGTGAAAATCCTTACTTCTTCTCCCAAGAGTGGCATTTGGATGACAGTTAGGCATCTAGGATATTGGTTTTCCTGGGCTAAACAATGGTAACTCCATCCCTAAATAATGTAGTCTGAAAAGATTTTATCTTTTTTTTCTTACCTAAGTTAACTTAGCTGGGTCATGTATGTTCATTGGACCCTATTATTTTTGTTTGTTTTTTCCTTAGTTTAAGGTTTACAGCCACATGATATTGAAACACCAGTTCCCATATGATCACAAAAGTTAAGCAACATCTAGCCTGGTCAGTACCTAGATAGGTGACTGTTTGGGAATACCAGGTGCTGTTGTGGATGTTAACAAGTTTGGGGATTTTTTTTTTAGGTGAAAGTGTTCGATATATAAACAAAGGTAGAAGAAGCATACAAAAAAAAACTTGAGTTTCTGCTATGGACATTGACATTCTTTTTACATTGACTGTATTGAGACAAAGTTTTCTTGAATATGTCCATTTTCCTTTTTGGTTCAAAAATTATTAATGGAAACTAAGGATAAGAATGGGTAAAGGTGGTCAAGCTCAAGTCAGCCTTGCGCAGAGTTGGGATGGCCAAATCTCTACCTGTGAGTAGGGCTGATGAAAACACGTCCAAATGATATTGTTGGAAGGTGAAAAGAAAAAGATTCTGTCCTTTCTGAAAGTGGGATCATAAAATTGCACATGTGACCTGAAACCCTTTCCTGTTTCTTTATAACTTGCATTATGGGAAAATTAATTTATTTATTTTTATTCTTTATTATTATTCATTGGTTTATTTAATTTTCACACACTGTAAGTTTGGATGTGCAAGTGATGTAATGGACAATAGTTTGGAATTGTTAATTGGAGAGCCAAGTTGTAATTCTAGTTGAGTTTTTTATATTCCCTTATGTGTAAATACCCTTTGGGAAATGTATAATCCACCTCTTCTCCCTTCCAGTCATGTGTTCATTCATAAAACTTGTATTACTAAATCATTATCATCTCAAAAAAAAAACATATCTTACAATCTAAAAATAAAAGGGGGTTATGAGATCTTTTTTTTGAGAAATGTAATTATTATATATATATATATATATATATATATATATATATATATATATATATATTTGTTTGAATAAAAGACTCTCTTTTATTCAAACATATCTGCTCTGAATTTTACATTGAGCTCTCTGGATATCATCCTCCTCCAGGTCTACCCATATGGATTACCTAAGTTTGCATAAACTAATATATATATATATATATATATATATATATATATATATATATATGTGTGTGAAAAGTGTATATAAATATAAATAAATATATATATGTATAATTATTTATATATTATATGCACAGTACTTATTAGAAAGCGCTCAATATCAGAGATAGAGCTAACATATTTGGTTGGATAGATGTGAGTTTGTGACCCTGGGTTTCACGCTTTTCCATATATATACATATACAAAAGTGAACATTGAAGTCAACACTTAGAGGCGACAGGCTGTTTCATGCTAGATGCAATCATCAGGACTGACGATCGCATCTAGCATGAAACAGCCTGTCCTCTAAGTGTTGACTTCAATGTTCACTTTTATATTTACATCTCTATCTCTGATATCGAGCACTTTATCTCATAAATATAGCACACCTTAAGAGTATATTTCTTCATATATATATATATATATATATATATATATATATATATATATATATATATATATGTATATATATACATATATATATATAGGTGATAAAAACAGGCATATAATACTACCTACTAACTCCTTAACTCCTTAATATCTACTATATAAAACAATTAATCTAATCTTGACAATATCAAGATAAATACAACTACATCCAAAACTATTATGGATATGATTAGAAACAAAAATACCTGTAACAATAATAATTTTGAAGCAGGTATATATAAAATAAATTCTCCCAAATGCTCCTTACAATAAATTTATGAAACTTGAAGAAATTAGAAAAGAAAAAAACTATCTATGAAGATGAGAAGGATCTTATGCACCAAAATACCTGTAACAATAATAATTTTGAAGCACAAATCAGGACTGATAATATTGCTGATTCTTCTTTGGATTTTATCAAGTTGTCAGATCTGGGGAGTGTTGTAGCACCAGTACGAATACTTTTTAATCAGACCTTGTACTTATGTCATAAATTTATCATGGGAATTCAATCTTTTAACCTCTTTTTATTTATGCCGAACCTTTTCAAGCAATACAGCAGGGCAATTCTGAGAGAATCAGAAGTCTTACCAGGTTTCATTATTGGCAGCCATAATTTTAACAATATAAGATATACAGATAACACAACATTGATAGCAGACACAGAAAAGAAACATCAAGAAATCCTACAGAAATGAAGAAAAGCAAGAAGAAAGGACTAAATATCAATTGCAAGAAGACTGAATGCATGGTTGTTAGCAAAAGGGACAGCCGAACATGTAAATTACAGATTGGGGATACTGAAATCAAACAGGTGCAATGATTTCGATACCGTCGGAAGCATATTAACAGAGGACAGAAAGTGTGACATGGAAATTCAAAGGCACATTGTAACAGCAAAAGATGCCTTCTAAAAGCTGAGCAAAGTATTAAGAAACAGAAAAATATTTTTAGAAACAAATAAAAGAGTACTGAAATGTTATGTAGTATCAGTCCTCCTCTATGGCAGTGAATGCTGGACAATCTCTTCACAGATTGTTGTAACCTAGGAAGGGTTATGAAAGATGAATAACCAAAATGGAGGTTGGAAATGAAATGGTAATCTTTATAACAAAAATACAATACTCACCAGTAGCTAGTGGTGGACTACTTAGACAGCATATTACCCCCACTTACAATAGTGTCCAACGTATTTATGAAGATTGGGACATACCCATTAGTGTTCATAGATACGCTATATAACACAGATGAAAAACAGACTTGAAGCTGCAGAAATATGGTTCTACAGAAGGATGCTGAGAATACCATGGACTGCACATGTGAACAAAAACAAAGAGAGACAATGGCAACAAAAAGGACATATACTTAACATCAGGAAAAGGCAGTTGAAATTTATAAGGCATATAATGAGGAAAGTGGGGTTGGAAAATTTGATACCCAGAGGACAAATTGAAAGTAAGAGAGCCAAAGGAAAGTAACACACAACCTATCTGGCAAACTAGTGTGAATGGATGGCAGAGGAAGATTTGGGAGAGATGACAAAATCATAAAAGTTATTAAGAGCTACAAAGAATAGGAAATTGTGGAGAGCCATGATTGCCAACATCCTGAAAGGACATGACAAATAGAAGAATGGAATGAGGAGTTACCGCTATTTACGCTATTGCTCTCATCTCTGTTGTTATCCCATTATTTCAGCTGTTGTGCTCTCCAACTTTCCTCAGGTATATGTCAATTCAGCAACCTACAGGGAATTATGAACTGAACTCTTTATTTTATCTACAGAGGTAGACTGTTCTTGTCCCATTGCTCATGTCTAGGGATATCTCATCTAGTTTCGTTTTAGTATTGATTGGTTATTGCTTGCCCTGTTTCCACTGAGTCCAAGTACCCACTGCCCGGCCCAAGGATTGAACTTGCAATTACTCTGTCACCAAATTCATGAACCAATGCTTTAATTCACTAGGCTATTCTCCTATATGTGGAGTAGGTGATCACGGCTCTTCACATTTTCTTTTTTTCTTTTGTTGTAACCTAGGGAAGGTTACTGAATAGAATAATCACACAAATGTTGGTAAGGAACAATAATACTTAGGACAAGAATAACACATATAAGATTTGCCAGTGGCATGTAGAAGAAGTAGTCAACTGCTAGAAGTGAGTCAAATGAATTCTACAATGAATCTCCAACTCTAGGATATCTACCAACCACCCCCACATGGTCAGATGTGGCACAAGGCCAAATTTAATGTGAGGTATCCAAGCCTGTAGGCTTGGCCAAAAATTCCCCATAGACCTTGTATAAAATGAGGTTGGGTAGCTGTTTCCCTGAGACGAGACTCTGCCCTTCAACATAGCCTTGTCTGGGGATCCTCTCTGCCTGGAGGCAGAGAGTTTGACCAGCCCAGCTGGAGACGAATCTCTGGACCATCTACAGTATTCACTACTGTATTTATGGGAATAGGGGCATACTCATTATCGTCCACAGGTATGCTACAACATCTTTATTATCTGTGAACTACCAAGACATCTTATGAGGTATTTTCCCATTCTTTTCCCCAGGGTTTTGAATTCTGAGTCTTAGATTGGCTACCATCCAGAACTAGAAGGCCCAGTCTACCCTGTTATTTAATCCATGCTTCTATTAAACATCACATTATATGTCCTGAAGGATCATGGTCCTCCACAGATTCCTTTATTTATTATCTGTGAATTGTTATGATTTCTTGAAAAACAGAATGGAGTAGTTTCCCACTGCCTTCTCCACAGTTTGGAATTCAAAGTAGATTTTTAACCCTTTGCCTATCCTACGCATCATATGGGGTGCACAGGTCATGTGATTTCCATATCCATGCATCATATGGGGTGCACAGGTCATGTGATTTCCATATCCATGCATCATATGTAGTGCACAGGTCATGTGATTTCCATATCCATGCATCATATGGGGTGCACAGGTCATGTGATTTCCATATCCATGCATCATATGGGGTGCACAGGTCATGTGATTTCCATATCCATGCATCATATGTGGTGCACATGGGCCATGATGCTAAAAGAGTGCTAAAACTAAGGATTCTTAAGGAAAGAGTCTACTATTGAGCAGAACCTCTAAGGAAATGCCTAATCTAATATTTTGTGCATTATATATAACCCAGGACACTTGACTGATAATGTAAGGTCTCAAATAAAAGATATCTATTTTTCCACTTTATTGAAATGATTATAACCTTTGTATCACATGAGATGCACAGAGCAGAAAGTAAATAACTTATGATTAGTGCGTCCTGTACATCACATATTATGTACAGGTTTTTTTTTATGTGAAACACAAAATATCAGCATATTCTATTTGCCAAATAAGCTGAGTTGCATTGCAATAGTTATAAATCTAAAAACAAGCATGGACGTTTGGATAGTACACATGAAAATGTTCTGGACAGGCAAAGGGTTAAATGACCTAATAACATTAAATGACCTAATAACATTTCTAACACTTTTGAAATTCTTTCAAATTTAATTCAATCAAACAATAATGAAGGAACAAAAAACGCTATTGAAAGAAGGTAATAAGAATTCCAAGAATTCAGACAGGAATTTAGAACACATTTGTTAAATATTCTGTTGTCATTGTTT